AAAAACATCATGTCAAAAATTTTTGATTGCCAATACTTAATCGAATTTCATTTTTATGTGTTTATTCGAGTTCTACAAAACCTAGACACACGAGTCTTTGTATAAATATTTACAAGAACCAAAACCGCAAATGATATAAATTTCATATGTGTTTATTATGTACATTTTTGCGCAATTAACAAAAGCAAGTGTTCCAAAACTTTTGTCCAGGTACTGTACATACCAACAGATATAAATATATACTCAAACAATTAAATACTTTGATTTCATTATTATCATAATTGGCAAGACTATATATTGCTGCCTCCAAAGTAGATTCATTTGTTGTGTTTTTGGCATGACCATCATAAACTTCTTTGAAATTTTCATATCCTATAATATTTCATTGTTATTATTATAGTCAGATAGATTATGTATGAAATTTAAACAATTGAATCATGAACTGATGATCTATTGAATTATTCAATAACATAGATGATGGTGATGTTAACTGAGAAGTTGTTGAAGTTTCGTAATTTGGTGGTGGTGATTGTACCTTGTTTATTTTTTCATTTATAATCTAAATATATTGATTTTAAAATTTTATTTTTTAATGATTTTTATAATACAAATTGACTCATTGATTATTCTTTAAATTATAAATTATGATATTAACAGTGTCAATAGTTGTTGTTTCCGATGATGATATCAACCTAAGAAACATAAAGACAAAAAAATTATAAATTAAACTAGAGTGACAACAAGTTGTAATGCATCATAACCACCACCACCATCCTTAAAACACTTACACATTTTTCTTAGCAATTTTTTTGAGTGACTTCTTTTGTTTTTGTTTTGATTATACAATTTTTTTAAGGACAAAAAAGAAGTTTGTGATTTGATCAACATGTACACATTAATTATTTATCCTATTGGTTTTTTTTTGGGAGGACAGATGCAAATAGTGATCACAATCATCATATTCATGAATATTCATTAAGGGGGTTACACTTATCAAAAATCCAAAAATCCCTTAAAATTATGTGTCCAATCACTTGATTTTGATAAGTGTAACCCCCTTAATGAATATTCATGAATATGATGATTGTGATCACTAGTCGGCGCCAAAAAACAAGCAGCGCAAACAGCCATACATCCACCTTGCGCTACATTACAAGCAACCACCGAAGCCGGCAAAGCTATCCCAGCTGTTGCGCCTATATAATAATGTAATTATTATAATAAATAAACAAATATTAATATTAATATTAATTGATTTACCTGCCGTAAAACCAGCTGCTGCATAAAAAACTATGAACCTTTCTTATATGTATGTATATTATCTTTAGTTTTACAAATATATTCGAATTTTTAATTGAATTTAATTGGATAGAATTAAGAGTGATTA